ATTTTCACGGACGTTTTGAATTTAAACGTGAATTTCTCCGCGAATATCGATGCTATAGTAATGAAACACATATCATCCTGTAGCCAAAAACCAGGGCTTTCGATCTATCTTAGAAACATCTTAGTAGAAAATCGCTCCCTGTCGCCTAAATCTTGGCCAAAGTTAAAAAATCAAATTTTTCAGGTGGAAATTTCCGGAGGTCATGTGATATTCCGTAAATCGATGCCTAATTAAATTTCCTGATGAATTAGTTTGATAAAACCTTTGTTTAATAGGGAGTTCGACACCAGTATTAATTTGATGTTGAATTATATTAGTTCGTCCCAACTGACTAATATTATTTGTAAACAAATCCTTATTTTTGTTAATGAGTTCATCAAATTTTTCTTTTTATTTGGGACTCAATTTTCCAATATTTAATTCGGCTTTAGCCAAGGAGTCTCCCATCATTACAGGGATTTCCTCTAGGCCATCATCATTATTTTCATTATTGTTATTATCATCAGTTTCAGTATCAATGCTGTCAATAATTTCTTCGTTAGTTGATTCATTGTCAACTTCACTATCCCTTTTATTTATCTCAGAGGCTAATTCCTCATCAGTGTATTTCACACAATCCTCAAAAATATCATTATCATTGTCATCATCAATATACTATCATCATCAGAAGTACTTCCTTCAAATTCAATTTCACTTTCATGTCTACTTTCAGAAGAGTTACTGTTCTCATCACTAGTGGTTTCAGGAGTTTCTATAATATTTCCTTTCACACAGGAGGCAGGTAGAGTTAAATATTTATTCCTCCATTTTAAGGTTAATTCCTGGTTTTGCCAATTGTAGTTACCATTAGCCTTTAAAAGTCAATTGTTTCCTAGTATAATGTTGTAAATAATAGATTTAGTTACTTCAACATCAATAGGAATGATATATCCTTCTACAGTTACAGGGAAGTCGCGGATAACTCCCAAGGGTCAAGTGTTTTCTCCTACAGCTGGTAGAATTATACTGTTGGAAGGTTCATTCACAGAGTATTCCAATTGTTCCATGGTATCCTCGGTAATTATACTTACTGCAGCACCACTATCAACAATAGCAGGTACAGAGTATTTATCGATATGGACAGTACATTTAAGTGAAGTTGCCCGAGGTTGGTATTCCTGAGCAGCAGTTTTACCATCAACTTTCCAAGGGGCTTTTAAGTTTTTTAACAAAGTTCGCTTCATTCCAGGAAATTGGAATAACTGTGACCAAGTAATTTCAGCTTCCTGTTTTTGCATTTGTTCGACAATGTCAAATTCCTTAGTGCGCAATAGACAGGGTACTTCCTT